TATTGCATGTCAACTGGAATTTTTTAAAAAAAATTAAAAAGGAAGAAACTGATGGCAGGTGTGAGGCCGGAACGTGTGGGTGAGAGAAGGGTGGGCAAGGCTCAGACGCACCAGGCCTCGTGGGCCCCAGTTAGGACTTCGGGCTTCACTCTGGGTGCAGTGGGAAGCCACCATGGGCAGAGTTACCCTGGAGTTATATGTCATTAAAAGGTCACTGCCTGCTATGTGGGACAAATCTCTGGCACACATTTGTCAGAAGCTTTGGGAATTCAGACATTGGGTATTAATGACTTTGACTTGAAATTCATCTATATAGCAGTCAAACGTAAAGTGGTGAGGGGTGCAAGTGACTTCGGACAATTGGCCAACAAATAGTCACGACTCTCCCATGCCAGATGTTGGGACTAAAGAGATATACAAAGAGACATGGCATTTGTCTGTATGTATGCTCTCAGCATAATGGACGTGGGTAGTCTACCAAAAAACGACATATACTTAAGAGCAATGGGGAAACCATTGGTCGAGCTTAAGCATGAGAATGACATGATCTGGTTCACATTTTTGAGGCTGCTCTGGATGACTGTAGGAGCACGAACAGAAGGGATGACAGGTAAAGCATTGCTGTGGTAGTACAGCTGACAAGTGCAGTGATTCCGAGTCGGATGGGGAAATGGACACAAGAAGGAAACCGATTCAACGTATAGATACCGTGGACTCAAAATTTGGTGACTGATTTAAAATGGAGGTGCCGGAGTCCTTGGACACTGGCACAAGCTGCCAGGTGGATCGTGTGCCCCTCACTCATAGGGAAAGGCTGGGGTGAGAGCAAGTAGGGATGTGGGAATAGTACTCAATTTTGACAGGTAACGATCGTAGAATAAGTAGAGATGCCCAGTAGACAACTGAATGTGTCCAATGCTCAGAAAACAATCTGGATGAAGCGATAGAACTGTGATTCGTCCACAGTCAGATGGCATTTGAATCCGGGGGAATGAAAGAGACCACACTGGCAGTGGAGAGAAGCGGGCTCGGCCTCTCCTGGCAGGGCAGATCCGGAAACACACCCTCAGGCTTCACGGCTGCTCCTCGCTTAACCTCACTATATTCTTGCCAGGTTTACGATCCACAGGGAAAATTATACATCTACTTTCCAGCTGGGAAAGTAGAATGAAAGCAGAGCATTTCGTTTAGAACCCTATGCTGCACTGGGGATGAAGTATATCCTTCCTCGTTTGGCCGAGACCAGGAATGTGAGGCCTACTTCAAGAAGCAGGAGAACCAGGAGAGATGGTGGAACATATGGCCCTTAAGGAAATACTGATTCAGGACAGAGTCTGCAAGGATAATAATTTGGTGGGAAAAGTTCATTAGAATTCGATCCTTCTTCCACTATACAATGACATCAGAGAAGTCATACTCAAGAGATCACATAAATGTAATGTGTAGAAAAGTCTGAACAGAGCTCAACGCTTTTCTCCATGAGCAAATTCACTCAAGAGAAATACCTTACAAATGTGTCCCGTGTGGGAGAGTCCTGGAGAAAGACCACCTTTCAAAGGACATTTCAGACCTCACACAGGAGAAAAACCCTACAAATGCATAGGCACAAATGATCCCTTACTCAGTACGAGAGAATTTACACTTAAGAGAAAACAATGTTTGCAGTAAATTCAGGAAATCATTTTCCAGGAGTGATTGCTTTACAACTAAGAATCTACAGAGAGAAACCATACAATGCAATTATTTAGGGAAATGTCTCATGCATTTCTTTTTCCTTACTCAGCATCACAGAATGTACACTGGAGAGAAACCAATGGAGGTGGTCACTGTGTGAAAAGCATTAACCACAGCTCGGCACTTATGAAGCTACATCAGAGAACTCATACTGGGAAAACCCCTATGCATGAAATCGGTGTGGAAGAGCCTTCAGGGGGTGTTCTCACTTTATTCGACACAGGAGTACTCATATGAAGAGGGAGAACACTAGGAATAGGGTCAATGTGGCAGGCTTTCAGTTATGGTTATCACCTTATTTGACACCAGGAAATTCATATAGATTATAGAAACTCATTGAACATAACATGGCAAAGCTGTGGTTGGAATTCCATTTTGTTTGACATCATAAGTAAACCACAAATGAGGCAGAATCCACAGACAGATATCTGGGTTTAGTAAGACAAAACTCGTGGCTCTCTGCAGTCACAGATAAGCCGGGATGAGCAGTTATATTCTCTACATATGCCCTTGAGTTGCCATAGAAACACCATTTGATGGGACTCGGGGTTGTAGGCCTGACGGACGTTTCATAGAAATGATTGTCATAGATAATAAAATGTAAATGTTATCAAAGACAAGAGCATACTTATCTTTTTACATCACATATGAATCAGGGAACCACCAAAAGGGAAGTGTCACGCAGAGACTATTTATCTTTTAGTGTCATGGGGATCAATAATGCATAATTTCATATTCATATAAGAGAGCTGAAGAACACACCATCCATTTTTTCCTGCATAATCCAAATGCTGTCACTTCAAACAAATCACAGAGCTTCACACTAACTCAATGTTTCACAGATGGCGCTCTACTGTCGCCTTTAAGAGAAGCATCGTAAAGACTTGTGTTCATCGTCCCACTTCCGGGGGCACAGCCAGTGTCCAGGCAGACTGCGGAGACATGTCACAGCCTGGTGAAGTGTCCATACTCCACAGGTGAGGCAAACCGGCTTTGTTTCAAATGCCCTACAAAGCTGGGTCTGGTGGGAACCTCACCCGTATCTGCCCAAACAGGTGTTTGGAGTATTATGGGGACAGGAAGGGGGAAAGTTCCCGCACATGAACCCCAAGGGCCATCATCTCCCTCTGCCACTGTGAGGACCCTTTGAAATGCTGGCTCTCCTCCTGTACTCGAGGGAGAGCACCTGTTCCTCCCTCCGCCCCATGGGATGCCGCCTTCCCTTCCCAGCACCCCCTCCGAACCCGCCACCAGGACCCCCACCCCTGCTACTCCCTGGATGTCGAGACTTCACTCAATTCTAGATCTCTGCTGGTAGCAAGTCTGGAAACTTCTAGCACCAGCGGCTGTCAGACGGGTGTGTGGTCTTATAACTCAACTTGAGGAGAGGCCTCTGGGGTAGAAAAGTTCACACAAGTACACTTTAGTGCCAGCCCCTGTGGCTGTTTGAACCTCCATTATTCTGGAGAGGCCGGCTCCCTCCACAGATGCCAAAACACCAACCACCCTTTTCCAGCTTTTACCATAGCAAGGACATGGACACATGTGTCAATCCTGGCTAATGGCATCTGAGGAAGTCCATGAGAAAGAGGGCTTCTGAAGAGATTTTATTCCTTCCCTGTGGTATGCAGAGTAATGGCTCCCCACAGATGCCCACATCCTGTGACTGTGTTACCTCATAGGGCAGAAGGGACCTTACAGGTGTCAGTAAGGGTCTTCGGGTGGGAAGATTATCCTAGATTACTTGTGGTGAGCCCAATGTCATCACAATCGTCCTCATTAACAAGAATAGGCAGGAGAGTCAGAGTCAAAGACTGCAGTGTGATAACAAGCAGAGGTCAGAGTCAGAGAGACACTTGAAGATGCTACGCTGCTGGCTTTGGTGATGGAGGAAAAGGCCATGAGCCAAGGAATGTAGGTGGGTTCTAGAATCTTGGAAAGGCAAGGAAATGAATTCTCCCCCAGAGCCTCTACAAGCAGCTCAGACCTGCTAGGAAACCTCCAGGAAGAGGAGAGTACACAGGGCCGTCGGCCTGAGGAGCACAGGTGAGCCCCAAACACCAAGAAGGAGAGAGAACATCAGAGCTTGGGTCCTGGAACCCGAGGAAAACGAAAGAACACCAGATCTTGGAGTCTGAGGAAGACAAGAGAATACGTCATCCTGGGCTCCCAAGGAAGATGAGAGAGCTCTGGGCCCAATGAAGAGCACATACCATGTCCTGAGCAGTGACAGACTTCTTCCATTACCCAAGCATGGGCACCTCGGCTCTCAGAGGACACTGGGCAGAGGATCTAGCTCACTCTTCTTCTCTGACAAAGATTCTTTCCTTAACCAAACTTCTGTCAGGATCCCCGAACGCCCTCCCCAACGAGGCCTATCCACCTACTTCCTTGTGGAATTCAGTTTTAGCAAGAATCCTGCTGTCAGTTTATCCAGAATTTCCTACCTAAACTTCTGTCAGGATCCCCGAACGCCCTCCCCAACAAGGCCTATCCACCTACTTCCTTGTGGAATCCAGTTTTAGCAAGAATCCTGCTAAGTCAGTTTATCCAGAATTTCCTACCCTTGATAGCTAACCAAACTCAAATCCACTATCTCCTCCCCATCCTGGGTGATATCGGTCACCTTGGCCTGCCTTCAGCAAGAATCCTGTTCGGTGGGTTCAGCCAGAATTCCATCAACCCCCCACCCCAATCCAACCTGCTGCTTGTCTGTAAATCTACACTTATTGCGCTTGAATCCAGAATCGAGCCCGGTTCTATACCGGAGTCTCCCTTCCTCAGTTGCAATACTTTTATTGAATTAAATCTATTTTCCCCGCTTCAATTTCTGTCCAGCTTTGCTTTATCTTTGACACCACTCCCCAACCCGGGTGCCTAGAGTACAATGAACGCTGCCCCTCTCCCAGACTTGACAGGACATTGAGGCCTGTCCCTCCTCCTCTCCCTGGTGGGGGGAAGCCGGCCCCCCACCCCCACCCCGCGCCACCCCTATCCTCCCACGACCTTGGGCTGATTTTAGTCAAGCCTCCAGCATACTTACAGCTCTCAGTCCCGCCCCTTCTATCTCTCCATTAGACAGAGTTGCTCATTTAGCCCCGCCCCCGCTCCAATCCCAGGAACTTGGTGGACAGTGACTCCGCCCTCCCCGTTCCCGCCCCTCCCTCCTCCACTTTGGGTATGAGTGGTAGTTGGCCCCGTCCCCTGACAATACCGGCCCTTCCCGCCCATCACCTCTCTCAAGGATGTAATAGTCTCGCACCCCCACCTACCAACTCTAAGCCATTTAGCACTTCCGGCCCGCCCTTCTCCCCGCGCCTTCCTTTTCTAACTTCCGGTTTGCCCCACGCGTGGACGCCCTCCTTCCTGGGCGCGACTATCTCCAGGCATGTGCCACCGCCCACTAAAGTATTGGGACCCTCGTAGCCTGGCGTGCTTCACCCGACGTCTCCTTCTGACCCTTTGGGCCGCCAAGGGACGCGGGCGAGGGCCTTTTACCTGGCTGCCCTGGCTTCGCCTTCCACCCAGAACTGGCCGGACAAGATGGCCGCCGCCGGGGAGCGCCCTAGCGCGGCGCGCCGCGGGGCTGTCTGGGAGTTGTAGTCCAGACCGCTGCGCTGACGCATTTCGCCGCGGGCCGACGGGCGCCATTGTGCGCCGCGCGCGGGTGAGTGCGGCGCGAAACGTGCGTCCGTCGGGGGTGGTGTGGGTTCGGCCTTGCCTGCTGTCCTCCCGCCGCGGGGAAGGAAGAGGCGGTGTGGTCGCGAACTGGGGTCCCAGAGGGAAGACAGCTCCCTCCGGGCCCGGGCGTGGCGCGGGCCGCCCCTCTCGGGCGTGTGCGGGTTGATGGCGGGAGTCTACTCCCTCTGCGTGATGAAGGTGGAGGGTGTCTCCTCTCGATCGAGGGGAAATGGGTCTCTCGGTCCCTGGGAGTAGGTGGATACGACCCCTTCAGGGTGTTTTCCGAGGTGGGGGTGGACTTTTCCTCGTTGATGGGCGGGTTCGGGAAGAGGAGGGGACCTCGGCGTAATCCTCAAGCAGCTCCTACCTCCCCAATTCCATCTTCTCAGGACTGTGCCCACTCCCACGAGACAGGTTGAGGAGGAGGAAGGTATGGCCTCCGGGCTTCCGACGGCCTGGTTCCGTGTGAGTAGAGGCTTCTTTGAGTTTCTTAGTGCACACCCTGATCTGGGGACGGGGGTGGGCGCAGGGAGGAGGGACTCCACCCTCCCTGATATAGCCCCCGGGCCCCAGGGCATCTCGGGGAAGGGGCCGGCTGAATGGAGACCTTGCTGGAGCGACCTCAGGCTGTTCAGCTTTCCAAGGTCGTGGTTAGTGTAGATTTCAGATTCTAATTTGTTTTTAAAGTTGCGGGGGGAGCGGGGCGGGGAGGCATTGACAGGTCTAAGCAGAGATCAGATTCGTGTTTAGATTTCAACAGTTACTCTGGCGTCAAGAGCTAGACATGAGGTGAGTTCAGTCACTAGGAGAAAAGAGAAGGGTGGATCCTTTACAGATGGAGGAAGTAGAAGCAGCACGGTCGGCACGGGTGCTGAGGGCTTGGGTGTGGTGATTCAGCTCCCGGAATTTCCTAGGCGGAGGCATAAGCACTGACATCCGTGTTGAAATCCCCAGGAGAGTAAGAAACGGAGGGGCTTTCAGAAACCGAAGAACCCTGTTCAGCCTCACGTGGTGTCCTCCTTGGTGTGACCTGATAGGGTGAAGCTTGGGTTTGCTCAGTTTCAGACAAATGCAGGAACACATGAGACGCCTGGAACGTTCTCAGGCCGTGTTGTAGCCTGCCTTCATGTGCTCACTCAGTCTCCCTACTGTCAGTGTGAGTGGCGACAGACCTTGGCTGAACAGAACCTGTGGGTTTTAGGAACCAGTGACCTTTGAAGATGTGACCCTGGGTTTTGCCCCGGAGGAGTGGGGACTGCTGGACCTTGAACACAAGTCCCTGTACAGGGAGGTGATGCTGGAGAACTACAGAAACCTGGTCTCAGTGGGTAAGGCTGGCCTCCGTGTCAATAAAGGTCTGCGCTTCGCAGCACCAATGGTGCCACTGAATTGTGTGTCTGCTTGTGCTCAGGCCGCAGGGATCAAAGTGTCAAGACCCCGGAGCTTAAGGGAGAGGGCTGAATTTGTACCCTTTGGAAAGGGTGACTTCTGAATCTTCAATAGTCCATCCCTCAGAGGCCCTGAATACCGGGGGTGGGGGTGGGGGGGTCTGTCAGGGATGTTTTTAGCTGCTGTAGTGGATGCTTACTATTTTCTGTGCGTGTGGTTTTTTGTGTTTGTTTGTTTGTTTTTTCTATTAGAGTTGACATTAGCTTTAGGTGTACAGCATAACGCTTAGACATTTACATAATTTACGAAGTGACTCCTCAATCTAGTACACAGCTGGCACTGTACATGGTTATTGGATTACTGACTATATTCCTTATGCTGTGTGATACTTACTGTGTTTGTGACAAGAATTCCAGAGGACACGGTGTCTTTCCAACACCTCAGGATTGTCATCCCAGACCCTGATTCCTTCCTTCTCTATGTGGTCAGTGTGAACTTTTCCATTCGTAAATTAGTAGCTGCATCATTGCGGCACCCAGCATCATGTCTGTGTTAAAAGCAGAGAAAAAAAATCAGAAGAAAGAAGGAGAGAGGGAACAGCCCCGAGTAGTGCCCTTTTCACTTCTGTCACCTGTAGCAAGAAAGAAAAGGCCCTAAGGCTCCAGCTGACAGACATTCCTTTGTGTCTTGCTGGCCAAAACCGGGTCCCACTGCCACCTTTACCAGCTCTAGGGAGCCCAGGAAAGCAAGCAGCTGACAAAGGAGATGGATGGATGGTCATCACTGCCCTAGACCAGAAGTCACGCCCTGGCAGGAGACAGCACGCGCCACAGCAGGAAAGCCTTTTTTCTGAACACAGACCCCCAAGCCCTGTCTCTTTTCCCTTGGGCAGAACATCAGCTTTCCAAGCCAGATGTGGTATCTCAGTTAGAGGAGGAGGAGGAGCTGTGGTCGGTGGAGAGAGGAATTCTTCAAGACACCTTTTCAGGTGAGAACCAGGCACGTGGGAGTCCTGGCAGGGATCGGGCTGACTGGTGAGTCAAGGACGGTGTCTCAGAACAGAAGGTAGACGGGCGAAAGCTCCGGCGGGGAGCCGTGGCGCTTGGCTGTGGCCACACTGACTCAAGCGCTGCGTTTCGCCTCAGTCGGGTTTATTGCTCCTGGTTGACCGTGAACCTGTTGCCAGTGGCAGGTTGGCATTAGGGGCTCCGTCACTTTGCTCCACTCGTCGTCTGCTGCCCTCCCTGTTGTAATCACCAGTAACTGTTGTCTGGCCAGACTTTTCAACGTACATTTACATACGTGTATGTGAACGTAGACATCCCCAACTCAACGACACTCCAGCTTAACCGTTTTTCAACTACAGTGGTGCGAAAGCGACACCCAAACAGCCATTTTGTTCTTCACTTTCAGTCCAGTATTCAACAAGTTGCTTGAGCTATTCACATTATATCAAAGTTGGCTTTGTGTTAGATGAGGCTGCCCAGCTGCGGGCTAATACAAGTGGTCTGAGTACATTCAAGGAGGGCTGGGCCCAGCTATGATGGTTGGTAGGATGCTTCAATTGACGATGGCTTTATCAGGACGTAACTTCATCGTATGTTGAGGAACGTCTGTATATGTGTGTTTTGGGGGGTGTGATACTCAATACGGACAGCTGTGCGTCTTTCATTTTAACAAATGCAGTGTAGTATACATTTGATTTTTTCTCTTGATGGACATTTAAGTTGTTGCAGAAAACTTTTTACATACATTCTTTTGCACACTTCAGTTGGGTTTTTTGTAGATAGGATTTCTTGAAATGGTACTTCAGAATCAGCCAGGATGTAAGCTAAAAATCTAGTAGCAGCAAATCGTTGTCTATAAAATACATGTAGCTGCTCAAGTGCACGAGAGCTGCTTTTCCCTATCAATGCCAGTGCTTTACAATGGTCTTCTTAAAGTTTGCAGATTTGGTGGGAAGAGATACTATGTTCAGTTTAGTTTCCCTTTCCTTTATGGAGTTACACGTATTTTCATAAGTTTACGATAGACCATTTATATTTTTTCTTGTGCGAGTTCACGTACTGTTCCCCTCTTTCTTTGTGCGTGGGATTTTATGGGTGTTAATATTGCAACTACCCGAGACCAACATTTATTTTTTACCTTTATTCAGTCTTCGTAAAGTTTTATGATTTCAGGTTTATATGTTTGTTTTAATTCCTATCTGTATTCGTATTCTAGGTTTCATATCATACATAGGTAGGTTATACAAATCCTTTTTTGTATTCCAGTATTTTTAATTTTGGTCGGCTGTTCCATTTATTTGGTGTTTTCTTATGTATGTGGGGTGGGGCGCAAGTTCTTTCAACACCCATTTTCTAACTAGGTTCTTCCACATTGAAAACATCTTTATCGTGGACTAAATTCCCACAGTCACCGTGTGCGAGCCTCCTCCTCAGCGCCTTCGATTGCCGTGACCTCTCTCTGAATAAACCCTACATTGCTGTTTTTACTGTAGCTTTGTAACAAAGTTGGATAAATGGTAGTTCTTCTCGTTAGTAAAAAACCACGTTTTTAGCTGTTCTAATCCAGCTAGTTTGCCAGATGAACTTACCATCCGCTCGCCAGGGTGCACTGAGAAAGTCCTGTGGGAATAGGTATTACATGCGATTGGATTAAGAGATTCCTTCGTGCAGAACTAGTCCATCCAGTGAGTTTTGGCACAAGGGCACGAAGAGGGATCTGCTTGCCTCACTGTGCTGTGTCAGGCCTTGCGAGTCCTGCGGGGCTCTCATCCTAGTTGCTGTTATTGCTCAGGTTAATCCTCCCGTGCGGTCTTGCGACTTTGTCCCAGGCAAACCTGTCGTGCTGCAAAATTCTCATCGGTGTTCTCAGAGCACTCATTTTTCCAGCAGGCGTAAAGGAGGAGGAAGTTTTTTTTTTTTTTTTTTTTTTACTTCTTTTGGGCAATCTGTAAGTGCATTCATCATAGCTGGTATATCCAAAAACTTTGGAGGCTCTCCTCTTTGTCCTCTGTGTGTTAATGCAAGTGACGCTGGAACTGCCCACTGCTGGCAGTATTCAGCTGTGAAAGCTGTGCTTGGTCCCCCATCTTTGGTGACGACTTTACCTTCGGCACAGCATAGACTGCCGTCCCCAAGACCGTTTGCCCCTTTTTCTGGACTCCATGTTTCAGCTCGATGGTTTGATGTTAGTGCTTTCTATTTTTCTTTTTCACATTCAAAGTCATTCTTTTCATCCTCTATATTGAAAACCTTACTTCACACTATTAGCACAGGTCACAACTATACTTCACCTGGAAGGTCCCCAGCAACACATGTGCTTTGTGTCTGTCTGCTCACAGTGGTTGCCCTTGGTTGCTTCCCTTGATCCAGCCGCCTAATGTCCCTTCCCGTCTTTGTGCCTCTGGCTGTGGCAAGTGTTCGTCTTATCCTCCCTGGAGCTTAAGTCCCATGTCCTGTGGGGGCAGACCTTCCAGCCATGCACTTCTGGATGATCTAGTAGTTTTCTGAATCTAGCTGCCATGCGTGGCATTGGGCACCAGTGGTTCTACACATCTCAGGAGAGCTGGCCTGACACGTGACAGGAGATTCAGGGGTGGTGCCCCAGAGCGAGACCGTGTGCAGGAAGGCTTATCAAGACACTCTTACAGGCCTGAGGTGATAGGTACATGCCTCATCTCTGCCCTGTCACACAGAGTCCTTTATGGGATGTTTTCCCTCCACCCTTTCATGTCACGATCAGCCGTGGAAGGCCTCTGCGTCCCATGGAGGAACCTAAACTTTGGTAGTAAAACAAGGACCTGACCTGACATAATCTCTGCCATCGTAGACTTTGTAGTCTAAAAGACGAGGGCCTACAGAAAATTACACAGCTGTACCTGCATAAACCCAGATGAATAGTGGTAAGTCCGTGGTGCGAAGCAGGAGAGGTGAAGGGTTACTCTGGAGGAGGCGGCCGGGGACAGTGCAGAGGGAGATTTAAGCCGATTCCTGAAGAAGTCTGCAGACGTGGAAGAGTGCTGGCGAAGGGAGCTTCCGGGCGTGGAGATAGTTTGGGGTGACTGAGAATGGAGAAAGCTGGGTAACAGAAAGCCACCCAGTGGGTAGGGAGGGGTTAACAGGTATACTGACGTGCGGCTGAAGTTTGGCAGAGCGCTTGGGGCCTCCATCCTTCATCGAGCAGCTGTGTGGTCTTCGTGGCTCGCTCTGGGAGTTTGTGAGGGGAACTGCGGGAGGGCACAGGTGGAAGGAGGTGGAGGCCGTGGTAACATCTGGGGATGAGGTGGTGATACTTGGCCTGAGAGTAGCAGTGGGGTCGGGGGGCTTCTCCCCACTCAGTGATCAAGGGAGCAAGAGAGAGGAAGCTGGCGGCCCTTCCTTATAGGCAAAAGCTTCCACAGATTTCCTGAGACTATCTGTTATGTATTTACTGTATACATTATTTTTATATGTATCAATATCGTTTTAAAAATACAATAAAGATGAAAAGTTACTACCCCTGAATGTTTAGCCGGTAGACAGGTCCATGAGGGAGTCTTGTAAAGTCATAGAATTTTGAAGGGCGGAAGTAAAGGTTTTGTTTTACTTGTTACATTGAAGTAATTTTAAAGAGTTACGTAAACTCCCTTTGTACTCAAACAACTCCCTAGTAACTTTCACCCAGATTCAAGAGTTTGGAACTATCAGGAGTCTTGACCTGTTTTGTGAATGAGACGTGAATGGGAGCAGACTTAGAAACATCCAAGGAAAGGCTTGTGACGCCAGTTGAATGCTCGTCTCTGGACCTCAGGAGGAGGCCCGGCCGCGCATACACACATGGGAATCATAGGTGTTTGGAACTGTGTGCTCTAGTGTTAGACGACACGAGCATCTCCTGCAGTGGCCTCTTCCTCCCAACACTGGTGTGGCTGTGCATCTGCTTAATGCAAAGACGTGAGATTAAGTAGAAATCTAGGCCTTTCGGATGCAACTCAGTTTGCATGCCTCTGGCTCCCTGTGATGGCAAAAATGGCAGCATAGGCATTGGTTGAAGTAGAAGGGAAGCTGGGGAAACACTTAAGACAGATGGCATTTGTCTTCGAGAAGGTGCTGGTTTGGAAAGATGCTATGAAGATAAGAAATGTGGAGAAATATTTGATGGCACTCGTCTTCTGCCATCACTCAGTTCTTTCAAGAAAGTACTTCCATGTATGGTTCAGAAAATTTGAGACATAATCTAGATTTAATCATTAGAATAGCAATGGTGTGAAGACACTGTTTTGAAATTCATGATTGTAGGAAGGCCTGCAGGACATTTAACTTTCTTGTCAAGAAGTTAAGCAGGAGATTTTCATCCTTTGTACAGCCTGAGAGGACTCGGCTATAAAACAAATGTGGCGAATAGGAAATCAATTTATTTATACAGAAGATAGTTGTTCATCCAAGAACAAGAGTGAATGTTTTTAGTATGAGAAATCCTGTTTTTAGTTCAGCTTGGCCTTCTTTAAGAGAAGGCTCACACAGGAGATTGACAAGCAAAGATCTTGAATAGAGGAAGCCCTCTTCGTGTATTTTTTGACATGAGAACTTAAAACTGGGGTAAAATTGCAGGAATATTATCATAGCAGGAAGGGCTTCTGGCCTGATCCAGTCTGACTTGGAGAGAATTCATACTGGATCAAAAAAAAATTCCACTAGCTTTGAAATTGGGAAAGTTCGTACACCAAATAATTATATCTGAGAACTCTGAAACCATGGGAATGTGACTGCTGTGGGAAAGGTTCATGCAGCGTTCTCTCATTCAGCATCACAAGGCACAGTGGGCCGCGCCTGAGAGCGTACTCAGTGTTGGGAAGGCCCCTCGGGGCCTGGAACCCGCTGCAGGAAGCCCTCCAGTAGGAGTCCTCGTGGTGCTCGGCGTCAGAGGACTCATATGACAGCGGCCCCTCGGTGTGGTCTGTGTGGGCAGATCATTAGCCTTAGCTTTCACCTCTTTTGACAGAAC